TATTAGGCCACAAATTAAGTCTCAATAGATTTGAGGAGATACATATTATAAAAAGTATCTTCTCTGAACACAGTGGAATGAAATTGGAAATCAATAACATAAGTAAAAATAGAAAATTCACAAATGTGTAAAAATTAAACAACATACAAATCAAGAAATCAAAAGGAAAATTAGAAAATACTTACAAATGAAAATGATAAGCTTATAGGAAGCAGCAAAAGCAATGCTAAGAGGGAGAGTTATAGCTATAAATGTGTACATGAAACAACTAGAAAGTTCTCAAATTGGCAGCCTAACTTTACAGCCTAAAGAATCAGAAATAAGTTGGGCTTGGTGGCTCAGCCTGTAATCCCACGCCTTTGGGAGGCTGAAGTGAGTGGATTGTCTGAGCCCGCAGGTTCGAGACCCGCCTGGGCAACTTGGTGAGACCTCATCTCTACAATAAATCAAAATGAGCCAGGCGTGGTAGCGTGCACCTGTAGTTCCAGTTACTTGGAAGGCTGAGGCAGAAGGATCGCTGGAGCCCAGTAGGTCGAGGCTGCAGTGGCCAGGAGCAGCCACTGCACTCCAGTCTGGGTGACAGAGTGAGACTCCAACTCAAAAAAAAAAAGAATCAGAAATAGAAGAGTGAACTATATCCAAAGCTAGTAAAAGGAAAGAAATAGTAAATAGTAGAGCAGAGACTAATGACACTGAGAATTGAAAAAAAATAGAACAGTTATTGGAAGGCTGAGGCAGAAGGATCACTGGAGCCCAGGAGGTAGATGCTGGGGTGACCGTGAGCATGCCATGGCACTCCAGCCTGGGTGATGGAGTGAGACTCCAACTCAAAAAAAAATAATAATAATAATAGAGAAAATCAATGAAATCAACAGTTGAGACCAGGCATAGTGGCTCATGCGCATAATCCCAGCACTTTGAGAGGCCCAGGTGGGACGACTGCCTTAGAACAGAAGTTCAAGACCAGCCTGGCCAACATAACAAGATGCCATCTCTATGGGGAAAAAAGGTAATTAAAAATTTTAAAAAGAAACCAACAATTGGTTCCTTGAAATGTTCAACAAAATTGACAAACCTTTTACATATGAACCAAAAAAACAAACAGAGAGAAGGCTCAAATTACTAAAATCAAAAATGAAAGTAGAAACATTATGACCAATCCTGCAGAAATAAAAAAGATTATAAGACACAATGGTACTCCAAAAAATTAGATAACATAGAAGAAATGGAAAAATTTCTAGAACCACCAAAACTACCAATGCTAAATCTTGAAGAAATAGAAACTCTGAAGTTTTATAACTAGTAACAAAGTTGAATCAGTAATCAAAAAAATCTCCCAACAAAGAAAACCTCTGAATCTAATGACTTCATTGGTGAATTTTACCAAACATTTAAAGAAAACCTAACAATTCTTTTTTTCAATTGATTTCAAAAAAAGGAATAAGATAGAAAACTTTCTAACTCATTCTGAGACCAACATTACCCTAATGCCAAGCCAGATAAAACACTACAAGATTTAAAAACAAAACAAAACAAAACCGTAGCCCAATTTTCTTTATCAATACTGAGGTAAAATTCTCAACAAAATATTTGCAAAACGAATTTAGCACCACATTAACAGGATGATGCACCATGACCAAATGGGATTTATTCCTGGAATGCAAGGATGGTTCTACATGTGGAAATCAATAAATGTGATACATCACATTAGTCAAACGAAGGAAAATAAGCACATGACCACCTCAATTGATACAGGAAAAGTTTTAACAGAATTCAACATGTGTTCATGATAAAACTACACACACACACACACACACACACACACACACACACACACACACACACCAAACTAAGATGGAAAAAACTACCTCAATATAATTAGAGCCAAATATGAAATACCCACAGCAAATCTCATACTCAATGGTGAAATACTTAAAGCTTTCCCCCTATAATCAAAAACAAAGCAAGGATACTCACTTTTGCCACTTCTATTCAAATAGTACAGGAAGTTCTTGCCAGAAAACAAGCAAGAAAAATAAATAGAAGGCAATTAAATTAGAAAGGTAGGAGTAAAATTATCTCTATTTCCAGATGACATGATTTTAAATGTAGAAATCCCTAAAGAATATACAAACATCTGCTATAACTGATAAACAAATTTGACAAGCTTGCAGGATACAAAATCAACACACAAAAATCACCTATGATTCTATACACTAGCAACAAATAAGGTGAAAAAAGAATTACAAAACAATTCCATTTACAATAACATTGAAAAGTATAAAATACTTAGAAATAAACTTAACCAAGAAGCCTAAATGGACATGTATAATGAAAACTACCCAACATTGCTAAAAGAAGATATAAATAATATAAATAAATGGAAACAGTCTATGTTCTTGGATTGGAAGACTTAATATTGTTAACATGTCAATACTATCTAATGTGATCTATAGATTCAATATAATTCCTGTCAAAATCCCAACGACATTTTTGCAGAAATATAAAAGCCTGCCCTAAAATTCCTATGGATTCTAAAGGGACACTGAATAGCCAAAATGATATTGAAAAAGAACAAAACTGAAGGCAGCACACTTCCTAATATCCAAACTTACTAAAAAGCTACAGTAATCAAAACAGTGTGGTACTGGCACAAAGACAGACATATAAATCAATTGACTAGAACAGAGACCTGAAAAATAAACTGTCACCCAGGCTGAGTGCAGTGGCACAACCACAGCTCACTGCAACCTCAAACTCCTGGGCTCAGGCACTTCTTCCACCTCAACCTCCTGAGTCGCTGGGACTACAGGCACACCACTATACCAGCTTGCTTGCTTGCTTGCTTGCTTGCTTGGAGTCTCAGTCTGTCGCCCAGGCTGGAGTGCAGTGACATGCTCACGGCCACCCCAGCGTCGACCTGCCGGACTCCAGGGATCCTTCCGCTTCAGCCTTCCAAGCAGCCGGAACTACAGGCGCGCACTACCACGCCCAGCTAATATTTTATCTTTTATTGTAGAGTTGAGGTCTTGCCAATTGCTCGGTCTGGTCTCGAACATACCAGCTAATTTTTAAATTTTTAAACATTTTTTGTAAAGTTGTGGGTCTTGCTATGTTGCCCACGCTGATCTCGAACTCCTGAGCTCAAGCAATCCTCCCACCTTTGGTCTCCCAAAGTGTTGGGGTTGCAGGTGAGTCACTGCGCCCGGCTGGTCAAATGATTTTTAAGCAGCATGCCAAGACACATCTTGTAAGGCATTTCTAGGTCACTTATTGGCCCAGAAAATTTCCGTGAATTCCTGGATTGGTTCATGCACCGATTTCATATCAGAGAAAAGCCTGATTTACCAGTTTGGGGACATATCCGTGTAATTTCTATGTCTATTCATATACTTCGTGTGTCCATTTGAATTTTCTAGAATACATTTGAAAGAGCTCCTCGTTATCTATTTTAGGTATCAACCACATCGAATGTCACATTTGAGGCAAATACTTCCCTAGGCTGTTATTTTTCCTTCATCTGGGGTTTTCCCCATTATTTCAAAATTGTTCTAAAAATTATATCAAATTGTTTCAAAATTCAACCTAGTGAAGCACTCAACATTGTGGAACCCTAGCTCTACATCTACCTTCGGTATCCTTGGGCTTGCTGCTTAATTCTCTGGGCCTTCTACTTGTCTGCAACACACGGATAATAACAACACTTACTATATTCAATATTACATCTATACATGCATATACGACAGAGACAGCGTGTCACTCTGTCCGCCAGGCCGAAGTGCAGCGGTGTAATCACAGCTCACCGTAACCTCTATCTCCTGGCCTCGAGGGATCCTGCCACCTCGACCTCCCAAAGCGCTGGGGATTCCAGGCCTGAGCCACCTCATAGCCAAGATGAAATCAATCCTCATTAAAGGTTTAAGCTTAGCTCGGTGACTGGTCTGGAACAAGTGCTCAGTGTATATTAGCTTTTATTTTCATCTCCGGTGCCCAAACCTTAGTAAATGTAATCTGCATTGATTATGTTTTAAGCATGGGTCCCATTCTCTGGAAAATTGGAGAATTTATATGGAGCATCTTGTTTTCTTTCAAAAATGGATGAATCCTATGCAATGAACAGCTCCCGCGTGTCTAGTCCCTGGGGAGGTTCAAACAGGATTTGCGCAGGGCCCTGGCCTCCGGCGGTGGGGACCACAGGGGCTGTCCCGGCCGGCCGGGAGGTCAGGGAAGTGGGTGTGGCCCGGCAGGCGCCCAGCCCCCAGCCCCGCCTCGGCCCCTCAGCGCCGCCAGGGGGCGCTCCC